CCCAGCCATGGATTATATAGTAAGGTAGACTGGACTCTCTAGCCTTGGTTGTCAATCATTCAAGGTGAAGGACAACTCTAGATTCAAAACCATCATGACGAAATCAAGGGTCTTTGGTAAGACATAACTACTGGAACCGGAGTTATGGTGAAGACATCAGTAGTAGGATAACAGATCAGATTTGGAATTGAATGCAATGGTGTCATGCAAAAGATCCTTCATACTAAACAATCGATGAAACCTAACTAGTTAGTGTTTTCCATATAATCTCCTTCCTTGTCAATCCACTTAACCCAGCCATTATCCATTCATCATATATATACCAGATATTACACCCTTGTGCAAATTAATTGAAACAACCACTTTTCCTTTATTTCACCATACATTCAGTTTTAGACCCACTGGCATGACAAGATGTAATCAATTTCTTTTTTTTCCTCAGATTAGGTCATTTGCTGTGGTGTGCAGTAATATGAATCTATTTTCGAGGTGTATGATATAATTTGTTTGGCCTTGAAAAATATTGTGTCATCCATAATTACATCACATTTTTATCACACCCAGACACTATTGTCTTGACTGTCGATTAGTTGTCCTATACCTATTTTCTGTGATGGACATTACTCCAAGTAAGTGTACATAAATTTTAACACTGCACAAACACACTAGAAAGCCTTACCAGTGACCAAATCAAAATATTATAGATTGGCACTGAAACTCACCTGATTTAAATCCAATCATGAATCTGTGGTCAATCTGCAAGGAACGACATCATGGAATGGACATACGAAGTAATAACATGTGTACTAGGTCATGTTTCATTGGGAAAATATGAACTAAAGTAAATAATAATGGAAATATTCATTTTGTTTCAATTAATTTGCACAAGGATGCATATTGTGAATCTTTCAGATAAAAATTCAGAAAATAATTTTGTCAGGATACTGACTTAATGATCCACAATTATGAGTACATATAGCTTGCAGCCATATCATGTTGAAAAATCAGTTACCATATAATCACAGAAGTTAAGCAACATTGTGCCTAGATGGTTGACCGTTTAGGAATACCAGTTGCTGTAAGCTTGTATGTGTGGGTGGTGTTCAGAATTATTAAGCAGAGAGCTGAGTTCCAATTTCAGTTGGCTTTACTACATTCACTTATGTTAAAATACTCTTGGGAAAGGTATGAATCTGCCTCTTCTCTCCCCAGCTATGAGTTAATTAGTAAGACTTGTATCACTAAATAATTATTATCAGCCAATAAAAAAATTCATATAATCAAAACATTTTCTGGCTTTAAATAACCTGAAAAGGGTTGATAAGCCATAGGAAATAAATTACATGTATATAACACTTCTACTGCTGTGATTGTACTGATACTTCTTTATGACTTTTAAAACCACTTATTTTACATTCAACATCATCACTTGATAAGACACCGGGGGTGTTGAAACAAAATGGCTATTTTTGTAGTGATTTTATAACATATTTATGTTATAAATTTTTTTTTAAATAAATAATTATATCTTCTCTACTTTGTATTGAGCACTCTTTTAAGAATAGTAATTGGAATTCATTCCGTATACACCAATTATATACTTGGATATATATATATATATATATATAGAGAGAGAGAGAGAGAGAGAGAGAGACAGAGAGATGTCTGTGTGTGTGTACATTAAATACATCATATGCACTTCAAGATATCTCCTATAGGGAATGATATTTTATTTAATATGGGCTGTTTATCTTGTATAATAATAGATTCTAGGATTTTGAGTCTTTCCTTCAATTGCAGGATGTAGGGTGTTTTGGTATTAGCCACTAATATTTGTCTCATGTTGTTAGTTGTATTTTGGTCATTCATGATGTACTGGTCAAGATATATATATATATATATATATATATATATATATATATATATGTATATGTATATATCAGTCATTTGTGATATGCTGGTCAGTATTCCTTTCACAGATGAAATGTCACAAGTCTCTCACTGCTCTACATTCCTTAGTCCCACTAGTTCTAAGCATCATGGGTAATATCCACCATACCATGCATGTTGAAGTGAAACACCCTCATTCCCTTTGTTTTCCATTAGTAAAATGTAAGTTTCACTCAAGCAGCTTCTTCCTATGAACCACTGATGACTACCAAGATGTTAAACTCCTGCTGGATTCACCTTTTTTACTCTGATCACCTTCACTTCAAGATAGCTTCCCTCCTAGCCAACTAAGTGCAGATCTACAAATCACAGGATGTTAGTGGCTGATCTCAACAAATCTGCATGATTAACCCAGCTGCACCTTGGGTTTGTGCATTCACGAGAAAAGCCGAATGACTTAAATATATCAATACTGACCTGAGAAGCAGCAGGACAGTGTCTCTTGTATCCCTGTGAGAAGAAGAATCTATGTTTGAAGAAGATCCTAAAAACACACACCCACTTGCTGCCATACTCAGTCTTCATTGAGTCCAAAAGCATCACCATATTCTTGTGGGTGATTATTTTCCTCCCTAAAATCCATTTCCCACAGATGAAATACTGCAAGCCTCTTGCTGCTCTATTGCTATTGCCATGGAAAGTATTCAGACAAATGAAATTTCTTAGTTCCACAAGTTCTAACCATTACAACTAAGACCCGCCATACCATTCCATTGGTGAGACGTAAGTAGATTCTTTCCATGAACCAATGCTTTGTGGAACTGGCTCCCAAGAGTATTGTTGTGGCCTTGTTAGGGCCAGAAATAAAGATATATAAGAGGAATTGAGTTAAACAAATATATTAACAGAAAACAGTAATACAAACATATACAAATGAGAGTGTTACAAGAAGAATGTTCAATCTGACTGTCAAAGCTGACTGCTGGAAACTTCACTCCAAAAGGCCATACCTGCTTTTATTTATAGCTGGGAGACTCCATGCATGTGGAGATAAATTACCATAACAAGGATGCTTCTCTTATCATTACTATCTTAAGTTGATCAATTCTAGGGTTAACTGTTATCTTCTCCATATATCCACATAATAAGCTGTGCCTCTTACTCTGTAATCCTCTACCTTGAGTAGCTCTTAGGCCTTGTAAAAGTTAAACAACACTGTAAATATACACACAGACACACACACACACATATATATTGTACAATTGTATAACATTACCATATTGCCTGTATGGGAATGCTTATATTGGGATGGTGCACTTCAATATGGTACAGTGGTTTATAAGCTTGTCTTGCTAGATCAAATATAACTGAGTAGTGAATTTGATTCTCACTGGGTGCTCCATACTTTTGACCCTGTGCCACATTTAAGCTACAGTTAGTATTTTTCTATTTTAGGATAGTTAGGGATATTTATCTTCAATAGTTTTAATTGAAATCTATGTACATATATGAAAGTTTTAAAATCTTTTTAACTTAATTATCCCTACATTTCGTGTGTTCATTTTCAAAATGTTTCATATAAATGGTGTAGATATCTCAAAGCAGGGCCATAAATGTCAAATGACTGAAAACAGATGCAATAATCTGGCTATTAAGAATGGATGACAAATATGTTTACTAATGAGTCCATTTGCCTTGCATCTCTTATTTAATGGGGGAAATTTATATTCATAGGAGTATGTCAGAAGCAAAATCTAAGAAAAAAAAACAAAAAATATGCATGTAACTTTGTCAGCAAAAACAAATAAAAAAGTAATAATAAAAGTATGATATAATATGATATAATAACATATATATAATATGATATAATATGATAATGTTATAATATAGCATGATATGATATAATCAAATATAATATGAAAAACAATATGGCTTGTTGTTTGTGATATCCCAGAATGCAATGTTTTTAATGAAGGATGAGATATAGCTGCGGATGTGAAGCCATAAATATAAAACATGGAATGGAATCAATAAAATACTGAAATTTTCAATGAGTTAGCAAAAAAAAACAAAACAAAAGCTTCAGGATCAAGCCTCCGCCCTGACAATTAAAAAGATCTTTTTTCTCATGCCAACTTTTTCCGAGAGCTAGGGGATCATAGCTATCCAATCCTTCCTGACTTTTGTGGTTCTAAGTAATTCTTATTGTTGTAGCATACCTATGGACGATAGTGAGTATGTCCCCATTCACATAAAGTAGTAAATACTGTATGTTGGTCTGAATTTGGAGATTTATTATAGGATTCACTTGACTCACTTCTAGCAGTTAACTAATACTTCTACGCGCCACTGGCAAATCTTATATGTGTTGTTCGTGTCCTAAGTATTATCGTTCCTTATCAATCTTTGTGTGATTATTCTATTCAGTAACCCTCCCTTAGTTACAACACATATAAGTGAACACTGAGGTCAACAGTGTGAAGTAACAGTATGTTTAATGCTTGCGCATAATCTTCAGGACATGTCATGTTTAGCATGAAACAGTCTGGGTGTTGTTGATGATCTTCTTAAATAGCCTCTAGATCTAGTCTCTGATATGATTGACTGATTCATTTTATATGGCTTATCAACCATTTGCCTCGAAACTCTTATTTAATGGGGGAAATTTATATTCATAGGAGTATGTCAGAAACAAAATCTAAGAAAAAACAGAAAAAATATTCATTTGTCAGTGAAAACTAATAAAAATAATAATAAAAGTATGATATAATGTTTCACTTTTTATGGCTTATCAACCATTTGCAGGTTATTTAAAACCAGAAAAATTTTGGGTGGGGGAGATTATAATGATTTAGTGATATTAATTAACCTATAGCTGGGGAAACAAGAGGTGGATTCATACATTTCCTAAGTATATTTGCATGTAAGTGAATATATCAAACCCAGTTGGAATTGAAACTCAACTCTCTGATTAACAATTCTGAGCCAGCCATTATCCATCACACCACCCACAATATAAAATGAAGATAACAAACCCAACTTGAATTAAAACTTGCACTCTGATTTTTAATTTCAAGCCATTATCCATTACCGTACATGTACCAACAAACTTACAGCACATTGTATTCCCAAGGGGTCACCCATCTAGATACTGACAAAGCTCAATGTTGCTTAACTTTGATGGTCATACAGGAACTGGTGTTTCTGTGTGATGAGGCTGTAAGCCTAGTCTTTGATATAGTTATCGTCCAATTTGTTCAGAAATGTCTTAGCGAGGATCATTCTTCATTGAATCTAAAGAACTAGTGTGACAGAATCACATAAAAAGAACATTACCAAATAATAGAAACCATATCACTTAAAGACATTCAACAGCAGCAACAACTAAAATAAGGCATGGAACATGAAGAGAAAGTAAGGATATAATCAAGATGCTGACTTTCCTCGCTACTTCAAACAAAAAGCTGGGAATGATACCCTCATCAGTATGACAAAGAGCAGTAATAGTGAAGTTCAGAAACAAATTTTCCCGAAAAAATGTTTTAATAGAAGGATTTTCAAAATTTAACCAACAGTAAAATTATCTGTTCAATCAATACCAGCTGTTTCCTTATATGGAAATGACTAATCTTAACATTACCATTACTCTTATTCTACCATCCATTTACATAACCAGACCAAAATCAAATCTGTCAACTTACTCATTTTTTAACTAGTTGAGTGATTCATTTTTTATGGCTTATCAACCCATTACAGGTTATTTAAAGCTAAAAAAATATTTTTTATCTGTCTATATTTCAGAGATAAGGTATTATGCACACTATTTACATTATTTGGACTATTGTCCTCATCTTTGTTGCCATATTTATCACAACATTTCGGCCATTGTATGCTTCAGTCTTCTTCAGGTGGTTGGAATGTCGAACTGAACCTTTTACTTCGCTTGCTGGGGTAGACTATTCTAGTTCTACGTGCCATGTCTAATGGCTGTCAGTTATCAGTTATCTCCTGTTAATTCCCCTCTCCAAGTTCTCCACAGCCTTAACCAGGTATTGAACTCACACTTTGCGTCCTGTCACTGGATCTAACTAATGCCTTTATCCATGTGCCATGTGTCCTTGATTAATAAATATTTTTTAGATTGCAAGAATTTTTGGTTTGGTGATAATAATGATTCAGTGATAAAAATCTTACTAATTATTTGATAGCTGAGAGGAGAAGAGGTGGATTCATAGCTTTCTCAAAGGTATGTTAAACTGAAATTGGAATATGGCTCTCTGATTAACAATTCCAAGAAATTATTAATTACATTGCTTGCACATCCAAGCTTATAGCATCAAATATTTCCAAGTGGTTACCTATCTAGTTACTGACCAGGCTTGATGTTGCTTAACTTCAGTGATTGTATGGGAGCCAATGTTTTAACCATACGCCAGAGTAATAGTGGGTAATTGAACGGGAGGAGGAGGATGTGAAGAAAGAAGGAGAAGAAGGGGGAAGAGAAGAAAAGCTAGAGTTTTAAAAAAGGATTGGTGGGTGGGAGTTAATCGGTCTACTCTACCAAACTTGCTGACCATGTGTGAAATTTAAAAGAAAAAAAACAACAGGGATCCGATTGTACGGTGGAAAATTTAAAAAAGTGATGCCTTATAACAACTGCAACAATATTTGCAACTTCTGCCAACAGGAAAAATGAGCAATTATGACATTTCTATATCAAAAGAACCTTTTGAAACAGAAATCTGAAGTCTTGAGTCTTTGCATACTTAAGAAATTCCTCTTAAGCACATATGAGGCTGGATAAAAAATATAAATGTACTATTCAATAACCCCCCCCCCCGGACCACCAATAGATTTATAATACCCTTGCTTTTATTCCCTTTCCCCTTCTTCTTCTTCTTCTTCTTCTTCCCTTTCCTCCTTCACATCCTCCTCCTTCCTTTCTGTTACACCCAACATCATGTGTTTGTTTATTTATTTTTGAAAATATAATGTAGCGTTCATTAGTTTTTTTTAAAAAAACGTAAGCATTAAGAGGTCATTTAAAATTACCTGAAGATACTGTAAGGTTGAAACTCATGTAGCAGCTTCAACTGATCTCCTGATTTTTAAGGTTAAAAGTTCTACATGTTATTTTTATTTTTATTTCATTTTTTCACATGTTGATTGAGCTCTTTTTAATACAACTATTTTCTGGTCTGATGATTCAACTCTGACCATTAACCTTTTATGTATTATATATATATATATATATATATATATATATATATATATATTGGGGCTAAGATTTCACTGGGTTTTTTTCTGTGAGTAGAGATATAAATCTCCAAGTTTTAAAACTTTTAGTTTGATAAAGGTCTACAAAATATTGACTAGTGTCAGTTCTGTTCAAAAACTTACCTGATGAATTTTAGAGAATGGAATTTTTGAAACCTATATATAAATGAATAATAATCACTTGATCAAATGCATAGAAATTTTTTAAAAAATATTAAATATTTACAACTTATCTCAAAAATTTGTATAAGAAGTTTTTCATGGATTCAATGTTTGAGGTTGTATTTTATTGCAGGAATCACCTCTTTATCTGCAAGGTGTTGGATGTTTTATAGTAAGCATCTTTAATAGCTCACAGTACATTTGTCACACAAACAAAAGAGTATCTGTTTTTATGAATGAAACTCCTCCAAGTTTTGTGCCATTGAAATCAAAGATTTCAAAGAACCCTTTGATATGGTCAGATGACCTTGCAAAGTGGAGGATTTCATCTGGGTATTCAGGTATTTGTATTCATTAGTTGGTGCCAAAATTAAGTGAGGTGACTGGCGAAGACAGTTGTCGTAAAAATCTGCTTCAAAGCACTCCATCTATTACTATTTTCTGTGGTGGCATAATGGATAGCAGCTTGGATTGAAGAATCGGAGAGCAGAGTTCAAATTCAAGTCGAATCCATTACTTTCACTTACATGCTAATACCCTTGGGAAGGTATGAATCCTCTTTCTTCTCCCCCCACCTATGGGTAAATAGCAAGACAGACCAGGTTCTATAGCCTTGGATGGCAACTGGTCTATCGCAGAAAGAAATGGCAACCTACTGTGGGAAAAAAAATCTGCCTCATCAGTTATGTATCAAAAGATACATGATCACCTAAGCGTGTATCATGCATGGCACATAACCGATTGAATGTTATTAGTCCTGACCTGCCATTTTGGCTTCAGTCACTTTCCCACCACCGTAATGTAGCTTCCCTATGTCCTTATTTATATATATATATATATTTTCATGGTAATTGTTCTGACAAACTTTCCACTATTGGGGTTTCATTTTTAAAAATTGTTATTTTTATTCCTCACCCACACAGAAAAATTGTATATACTAGTTAGGACTTCAGAAAGACTTTGAAGAAATGGCAACCTATTGCCAAAAAAACATCTGCCTCGTCAGTCATGTATCAAAAGATACATGATCGCCTAAGCGTGTATTATGTATGACACACAACTGGCTGACCATTTTATGACCAGACATATAAACTATACCACAAAAACCCAGAAAGTCCTGACTGAAGTTATTTTGAAGTACTTCTAACTTCTTGCTGGTAAGCCTTTGATTTTTTTTTCCTTTTTAGCCACTGACTGTAATCATTAAAATTATAATAAAACCATTTTTATTTGTTTATGATAAAACTTAGTTTGTCTTCTGGTTTTTCTCCTTATTTCTCTTTGTCTTATTTCTTTTGTTGAACACGTGAAACAATATTTAGCGGATTTATATGAGCCGCGAAAAAAATAATCTAAAAAAAATTGGAATTTAAACAAACAACAATTAATGTATGTAATAACACAAAGAAATTACATTAATGTTTACATAAATGGGAAGTAACAGAAAAGAGGCTAAGCTTAGCTATTAACAATGTACTTGTTTTTTGAGTGTGTCTGATAAAAGCATATGGGACACCTTTATCTACATTCTGCTACATCTTGGAGCAAGATGGAGAAGAGAGAGAAAGAGAGAGAATATATTTGTATTTTCTATAGATTTAAACAGCGCTGCCTAATGGGTGTTTTTGACAAAGCCAAGTGGGGTAACCCACAATTTCAATATAAAATTTCCTGAAAGGAATTATTGCTTGAAATTCTGTTTCATTAAACTCTTAAATCATCATTAAAAAAAAACATTAAAGTGATATTTTAAAACTATTAAAACCCCTAAGAAATGTTTTAAAAATGATTGCACACATTACAGGAAGGTAATCACAAAAAATTGCATAAAATCAAAAAAACACACTAAAAATATATATGCAAATCAATAAAAACATGGCTACCATAATTTATTAATGATCGTTAAAATGAGTTAATTCAACAGCATGTGTTTCATTTTGATTTATTTAGAATTTCATTTAGCACAAACAAATTTAAAAGGAAAACAAAAATCAAAGCATGATAAAAAATTAATTTCCACCTTTATCTTCTTTACATAAAAATATCAGACATTTATTTATTTGCATATTTTTTCAATTGTTAAAAATTTTATCCTTTGTCAAAAGGAATTATTTTTTGTTTTTTTTTGTTTTCTTTGTTAATTGTCATCAAAATAAAATACTTAATTATCGGAGGCTATCAGTTATATTAATTATACCTTAATGATGTCCAGTGTGTGACTATTTGAAGTCCTCACAAAAGACTCATAAATTTGGCAAGAATGACAAGAATGTAGTCAATTTATACACACTTTGAAAAAGGACAGATGCTAAGATCCAAATTTTAAAAAAATTTGGATGGGCTAATTTTAAAAAAAAGTATTAAAAAATCTGGTTCAATGTCAAAAGTTTAGTCTCTTCTTCTTCTTTTGCCCTGAAGCCTGGAAGGAATTGTCCAGGCACCGATGTGTTGAGCTGTCCACTAGTCTCTTCCCCCTGCCACAGTCGTGTACCAAAGCCTGAACTCTGCAAATGTTTTCTCCATCTATTCCTTGATATTGTCATTTCACCTTTTCTTCTGTCTTCCTCTCTTCCAAAATTCAACCACAGTTCTTTGAAGAACTGCCTTTGCAAGACTATCTGATCAGGTTACATGGCCATAGCATCTCAGCTTGATTTTCTTTTCTGTAGTGAGGTCTTCATGGGAGCCAATTTGCTACTGGTTTTTACTGTGTACCTGGCTGTTGGTGTTGTGGCTACAGTATAATATGCCCAGGATAGTGCAAAAGC